ACAAAAATTCTGACAGAAAAGACATGTTAACTTGTCATGAAGAAATTTGCAGTGTATTTTTGAAACCTAGTTATGAAGACGTTTAAAATATTCATTATGTAAGGAAGTTTATAATGAAATTGATAATTTTTTTGTAATTTCTTTCATTTCAGGTATTTCAAATTAAAATTGAGGTTAAATAAACACATAATTCACTATTTTAGTGGCAGTGAACTAAAGAGAGTAATATAATTTTATTCTTTTTTCTTGTCTTGAATTCTATTATTTTTAGATTAATTTCATATTTTACATGAAGTCCTCATGATATGTGAAATTATATATATACACACACACTATATATGTATATGTATATATAGATACAGAGAATTTTACATTTTTTTTCTGTTATATGTTTATTCTCTCTGCACGTCACACCCACTCTCTACAGTCCACTCCTCTCTCTTACATCTCTGGTATCTACACTAATCCTCTCTACTATTGTATCTTCAGATCTTTCCATTTCTGCCATAAAGTGCAGATTTCTAGTACAAATTGTGTGGGGCTATATCAGTGTGTATCTCTTAAAATCTGGTTCACTTCACTCAACCTCATCTCTTTGATATTCATCCACTTTGAGGCAAACGATAGGGTCTCATTGTTTCTTACAGCTGAGTAATATTCTGTAGCATATATATACCACAGCTTTTCAACTTAGTCATCAGTTTTGAGATGCTTAGGTTGGTTCCATGTTTTAGTAACTGTGAATAATGCTACAATGAACATAGATGTGCAAATGTCTTTCCAAATAAATGTTTTCCTATCCGTTGGATAAATATCAAAGAGTGGGACATATGGTATTCCTATTTGTAGGTTTTTGAGGAACCTCCATATTGTTTTCCACAGAGATTGTACCACTAAATTACATTTCCACCAACAGTGCAAAAGAATGCCTTTTTCACTACAGCCTCGCTAGTACTTGTTCTTTATTTTATTCTATTTTTTATTTGTTTACTTTTTATCTTAGCCAGTCTAACTGGAGTTAAATAGTATATCATTATAGTTTTAATTTACATTTTCCTTATGACATATTTTTATTATTTTATATGTCTTTTAGCCACTTATAAGTCTCCCTTGGCAAATTATATAATTTTAAGGAAAGAATACAAGACTTCAAATAAAGAAGAGGGCACCATGAAAAGTTTAAAAGATATTTCTCTGACATCAATGAACTTGGAGATTGAGTGTTTTTTGTTTGTTTGTATGTTTTGTTTTTGTTTTTGTTTTAGAAGTCAATAGCCAAGATTTCAAGAAGAAAAATGGGTGAATCAAGTAGGCATGAACAGAATAATAGCATCAGTTTAGAAGTAGTGAGACCATTCTATTTGATATTGTGGAAAAATGCTTGAGTGGCAAGTTATAAGATAGGTGTGGTGTGGAGTTGAGGAGTGAGTTGAAGATATTGTTGAATTGGCTGAACAAACCACTTTATGTTCTAAGTTTGAAAGGTTGTGGATAGGAAACTAGAGGCTTACACAGCCTTGAAAGGGTGGTAGATATGAAGTCAAAGAAAGTTTCCACTAATTGTCTCAAATTTTGCTTCAATTCAGATAGTCACAAAAGCACTCTGTGACAACCTTGGATTCTATAAGAACCTCCAGAGAGCTCCCATCAGTATGACATCCTGCAACAGTAAAGTAAGTGACTTTCAAGGGCTTGCCTTTTTTTCTATTTATCTACATATCTGCCTGCAACTGCCTGTGCAGAATAGTGCTTCCCCTTCCAACTTCCCAACCTTCATATATACCTCTAACTGGCAAATTCTAATCCCAAACCATCTGGAGGAAGTATTTAAAATAAATGAAGTTTCAAGAATTTCCTCCAAAAGGCATAACTAACCTTGGAAGGAAGTGTCAATTATGATTGGTGAAAATAGACCAGCCAACAGAGAAGAAATGATGAGAGGACTAAAGTAGTCTTTAGACCTTTAACCCATCTTAATTCAAACAGAGCAAATGTAATGATTATGCTCTCACATAAATTTAATTTGAACAGAGTTTTCCATTGCTAAAAAAAATTAGAATCACAAACACTTAAATACAACTTATTTATTTTTATTCTTTGTTTTTGCTATAAGGAGCATACACTCTCTATAGAGAGACAGAGAGAAGGAAATTGAGAAATCATACCCTGCAGGGATGGCCACATTGCAATCCCTTCTCTTCCATTCTTCTTTCAGAATTTTGGACATACACTTGCATGCACCTGGAATGATTCTCAAGCTTCTGGGTCTAAGACTAGAACCATAGTGGATCAGGTGGGAATCCAGCATCTTAACCCCCATGCCACTTGCTGACCCCCATACAATTGTTTCAGACAGAAGTTCATTCTATCAAATATAGGCAAACAGCTACTTACATGTGCTAATGTTATTCAGCCACAGGCAACCATGGTTTGTTTGTGTGTTTTTTAACTTTTCTCCATATGAAATGATTAAAAATGATTTATACCATACTTGTTATTCTGATCTGCTTCTGTTTGTCACTCTGCTGCTTTCAAATGTGATATTCAAAGTACAGATGCATAATGAAATATGATAGATAAAGGGGGACTATTTCTTTCAATGGTTTTAGTATCCTCTTTATATTCATGCAGCCAAAATTTACATTCATGTTTCATAATGAGTTTCACACTTCTGCCTAATACTGAGTTTGCAATTAAAATTTTCCAGTGTTTTGCACATGAACCACTGCCAAGCTGGGTCACCTTTCATGAAAAGATTTTGGATCAAAATATCAAAAGCTGAAGCCAAATAAATGAGTTAGATTTCCAAAGGAAAATAGCAAATCTTATAAACAGTAAAGAAACATAAAAAACAATCTAAGGTCTGATCTTTGAAGATCAAGTTCATATCTAAAGAGCTTCAGCAAGAAAAAATAAAAATTAGAATACAAGTTAATTATATAATAAATAGCCAAGTTAATCATTAGAGCCAAGAAAGAAATCAATTTCTCCTTAGATGTAGTCAGAAAACTGGAATGATTTGCTATTAAAGCAGTTAAAAATTGAAAGAAAAGAGCACAAAAGTTTGATTTCCAAGCACAGATTGTGCAGATTAGATGAAGACATTTGCCTGATTAGACCAGGATTAGAGGCAAATATGTGATAATCATTCATTTTGAAGTACTGAATCTGAAGGAGAATAGAGATCTAGGAAGACAATTGGTTCATATTCCCTTTTTTCTTCTAAAATGTTACCATAAGCACCTGGAGAATCCTGTAGTTTCATGTTTCCAGAAGAATTTGAAATAATTTAAATTTCAACAGAGGTGACATAACACATATGATAGCCAACATTTCAAAAATAAATTAATATAGCATAATGCAGAATATTGTGTCTTAGCTAGAAGCTTTCTATATTTTTATTTCAAATATATTTTTCTATAGGGTATGCATATTAAAGTCTCTAAAACATATATTGGTATTATTGTGTGGTAAAATGTGGAACAATTCAAGCAGCTGCAAGGAAAACATTTTTATTACAACATTAATAATTTCAAACTAGACCAGAAGGGACCATTATCCCTCTGGATACAAAGCATATTGTCCTTTGGCTTTGCTAAGCCAGAAGTTCCTAATTGTAATGAAATGCAGTTAATTAACCGATGGCTGTTGGACTTTGATATTCTGGTTGATGAAGTTTTTGTTTACCTTGATTTTGTATGGTTCATATAATTTCAAAAGAAGTCACATTTCCTGTCATGAAATAGTTCAGAATAAGTTTTTGATAATAAACTATAAATTGTGTATCTCTTTTGTTTTATTTCTATATTTTCACTTAATTTATTAATTTGTTTAAATAATTAAAGAAGAAAAGAAAAATAATATTGAAACTCTGTCTCATTATAACAGAATACTTCCAAGTGGCTCTTATTAGTGATTTGAAAAAGCATTACATTTTAAAATAAGATGTTGAAATGAATCACAACCATAAAGCTTAATGAGATTTATCCCATATAAAATTTTCACCTGAGTTTAAAAGTTTCTATAATAATTTACAACTGGTTATTTTCAAGACTAACAATCAAAATATTAAAATGATAATAATAATGTAAAAAGAAAGACTCATTGCATGAAGTTCACACAGCTAAATTGTGCATTTCAAATGATTTTTTAACATCTATACAACTATAAAAATACATACATGTATACATACCTACATAAAAATCAATCAAAGAGAAAAATACAAAATAACTTAAAATATTTTAAAAATACTTACTGAGTGATATTCACTCAGTTTAATCGTTTGAATTATGAAAATAATATGGAAAGTCAAATTTACATAAACATAGATTAGTCATTATTATATAAATATTTTCTCTTAGTATAGAATTTCTCAAAATTTCCAGAACACAATACGTACTATACAAATAAACACTAAACTGTGCACTGTGAGATTTTCTAAAAATATTTTAGAGGCATAGCCATACTAAATATAGTATGCAGTGACAAACAGATTGAAAGAAAAATACAGAAGAAAAAATTTTAAAGGGGAAACAGTGGAAGTGGATATAAAACATAGATATACCATAAGCAATTAAAAATTGGTTTGAGAGAAATGGAAGAGAAGGGATTACAGCATAACCATGCCCCATGGGATGGTGCGTTCTCCTTTCCCAGTCTCTCTCTCTATCTCATTTTCTCTCTCTCTCTTTACAATGAGCTCACATGTCCCATGGAAAAAAAAAAAAAAAAAAGTCCAACCCAAAATCCCAAAAAGTCATTCCTTATATTTCTATTTCCCATAAAATATGAATAAAGTCATAAACACTATTAACAATTATTTAGTGTCATTCATGCTTTGAGAATATAGAACACTACATGGTATACTATATCATATAATAAAAAAAGTTAAACATATGAACCTCTTTTTAAACTTTAAAAGCTATTCAATGTCATTACAGTAATTATCTTCACTTCTGATAATACAAAATCTCTATTATTAAAGTATCATCTCTCCTTACCATTGTGTAGCTATGGGCCACCTTCATTAATTCAATACATCCTTGAGCGTCTGCAAAAGCTCGAATTCCTAAACAGTTGGATGGATGCAAAAGCTTCATAAGGAAGTGGCAACACACTTCTACAACTTGAGGAAGCTGAAGGAGGCACGCTGCAGCAAGAAGGTTTTCAATGGTGTCTTCCTTTAATTCCAAACAACCTAAATGTAAATGAAGAGAGTTATGAAACTATTGGAAACATGAAATAACATGTACCACTGTAGTATTCAAAGCATAAGACCAACCAGCCAGAAATGATCTGAGCTGAGAGTCATAACCAAGATAAACAAAGCCCAGTCAAGAACAATGAATTTTGGAAGCATTTGCATTTTATGTAATATTCAAAATCGCCAATGCATACAAAGTTTCAAATCAAATATGCATACACTCCAGCAGAAATTGTGGCTCTTTCTTTAATTTGTGAAGTAAGAATAAAAAGAGAAGATACATTTATTTTAATTTTTAATTTATTTTATATATTCAAAAACTATACATCTCTTAGCTTGGAAAGCAAAGTTACCCAACATGAAAGAATACATGTCTTCAAACTTAGGAGAGCAGAGATTCACTGAATTTCTGACTATGAATATATTTGCATATGATTATGAAATACTCCTGTACATCCACACACATGCACACACACATCTCTGTGATTAATACATGTACAACATAAATTTATATGTGCATGTTGTACTAAGAGATTGCTAATATTGCATTTAACTCACTGTAACTAGGTATATAATTGTCTATAATTTTATTTTCTTTTTGTTCAGTTATCTTAACTACACACAAAAGTGCTCTTTAATGTTTCATCTTTTCTTTAACTTCCAGAATAATTTACTAAAGATTGGGCTTTTGGACAGTTTGTGAAACTCATTTTTGAAATATTTTGGGCTTAATGATGTGAAGTTAGGTTTTAATTAGTAATTCAAAATATTTCATTGTTGGGGGACCAGCAGTTAGCGCAATGGCTATGTTGCTGGACTCCAACGTAGTCAATCGCGGTTCTCATCCCAGACCCAGTGGCTTAAACTCGCGCCAGGCGCGTGTGCGTGTGTGCCCAAGATCCCGAAAGGAGAATGGGGGAGAAGGGATTGTGGCGTGACCATCCCCCTGGGGGGTGATTTCTCACTTTCTGTCTCTCTGTCTCTCTCTGTCTGTCTGGCGAGTGCACACACCCTATGGCAAAAAACCTCTCCAAAAATATATATATATATATTCCATTGTATTCATTACTTCACATATATTAATATATAAATATATGTTCAATATATATACATATATATATTAAGACATATAAGCTGGGTCATCTCATTCTCCCACTCTGTATTTATTGTTAGCTCTTTCATGCTCTAATTCTTTAGCACATCTAATAATTTCTTTAACCCTGATTTTTAAAACATCAGTAACTATTATGTTCCACTTCTAGTTTTCTCCATACAAATTATGTATATCATGTTATATAACTTCAATTTCATGAATACATTTTTGATAACAAATTAAAAATTATTGAATTGCAATGCATTGTCCTAAAATCCTGCACTACATCTAAAAAGACCAGACCACATATGGAAATAGAGTCACTCATGCTAAAGTTCCAAGTCATCAAGCCAAAAAAAAAAAAGCTGTTAATCTAACTTGAGACATCATGTGAGAGAGATATTATTCAAATTTCCTAAGCAGGCTAGTTTACATCAATAAGACAATGACATTTCCTCTGCCATATTCCTTACATAGAAGCAGCAATTTAAGTAACTTAGTTAACTAATCTGTTATTACTGTTCTGTCTCCCTGTCCCCTCCTTTTAAGGAAAGTGACTTTGAAATGACCAAATTTTGTTCTTTGCATATGATTTATTCAGTCTTCCGTTTATAAAACCAACCTTTCCTGTTCAACTCATTCAACCTGTATTTTATATTTTACTTAATAAACTGTCTTCTTAGAATCACAAATGAAGGCAATTTAGATCTTTAAGTCTAATTTACTATAGTAACAACCATTGTTGTTTGACAATGGCAATATAATTATCACATAGGAAATTGATATTATGTTATTTGTTATAATGTACTATTCCCCAAATATTCAAATGGTATACTTTATTACTTTTATATTTAGATTCAGGATCTAATAAAAATTCACATAATACATTTACACAAGTTTTTTTGGTCTCCTTTTAATCTAGAACAGTTTCCCAGCTACTCTATCATTTATAAGATTGATATTGATGAAGAACTCAGACTACGTATTTTGAGATATTTTCAGTTTGGATGAATATTATTCCCCCATGATCGGATTTAGCTGAAATATTTCTGTCAGGGACGACACCTACGCGACCCTTCTCAGTTCTGGTCAGGAACTTCATGATGTCAGTGTATCCCACCACTGGTGGAGCTAAGCATGAAATCTAGTTTAATTTAAAGCAGTATGTTCCAGATTTCTTTACATTTAATAAGGTTTTTTTTTTTTTCTGTATAAATAATGAGCAATCTGGGTGGTCAATGATACCTTTGCTTTCAAACATGACACATCACCTGTAACTTCCATGCATAATAGCTAAAGAATATTTTATTTTGTTTATGAGCTTCACTGAAAGAATATGCAGTAAAGAAATCAAGTTTAGCAAGAAATGCAACAAAGGCAAAAAAAAGAATTTCCTGTTTCTTTTTTATAGCTGAATGGTATGTATTCCATTGTACTTATTACCGTATTTTCTTTATTCAACCATAGGTTCTTAAATACTTAGGTTGATTCCTTATCTTAGTTGTTGTAAATACTGCTACAATAAATATAAGCACTTATTGCACTGATTTAATCATAACATTTTATAATTTTGTACTGAAAATTCACATTGTATCACTTAAATATGTACAATCATCATACCACAATTTTAAAAAGCAGATAGAAACAGCAAATGAAAAGGGCAATGAATGGAATAATAATAAGCTACTATTTGTTTTACATATAGTTATTTTCAATTACATTGCATATCTAAATTTTAGTTTTGATATAAAAGAAGAACACTGTATTGATTAATAAAAGATCAAATGGTTGTTTGAAATTCTGTTATTTTAATTAATTTGCAAAGACCTTGTTGTTCAGATGTTATTAAAGAGTAGAAATTCGGGTTGGCAGATGGTGTGGAGGTTAAGGTGGACTGGGATCCACAAGGCCAACCTGCATTTTCAATCCTAGACCAGTGACTTGAAAATCATACTAGGCACAAGCACACCAGGGCCCAATATCCTGAGAAAAGTATAGAGAAGGGAGTGCTGTGTGACCACCTCCCCAAGGGGTGATTTCTCACTTTCCTTCTCTCTCGCTCTCTCCCTCTTTCTTTGTCTGTCGCTCTCTGGACAGTGCATGTACCCTAAAAGAAAATGAGGATCACAGGTCAATTCAGCAAAGAAGAAATTGACCTATGCCAAGAAAATTCTTTGAGGTATGTATTTCTCAAATTATCAGTTTCATTATCATGCTCTAATATTTATCTCGAGGTGAGGGATTCATCCTAATTTGAGTGATTTTCATACCAATTATACTAGTATTAGTCACAGATATAATAATTACATATAAACCTGAAAGAATTTACCAGCACCAGATCAGATTCCAAGAAGTTCTCAAGGGAGTGCTATGTCAGGAAAATTAAATGTACTCACACAGAAACAAGAGTTCAAAAACTAAGAAAATGGCCGCCTTAATCATAGGGACAAGTCTGGAGTAGAGTATTATATCCCAGAATTCAATCGGGAAGATCGAACCACAACAGAAGATAGATTAAGTACAAGAGACTGAACTGGTGAAAGAGTATTCTGTGACTTCTGACTAAAATAGTGTGACTTTTCTTCTAGGCTTTGTTGTCTGGTTTTAAGAGGTTTTATCCTGTCTTGAGCTGTCAATAGGTTCATGTACCTACTATTTGAACAGAATACTAACCTGTTTCCAGGCTTTAAGTTTTCAGCAAATTTCCTTACCAATTCAAAACTGCTTTTCTTGAAATTACCAGCTGAATTTGCTATTGAAAGTAGTTAGATAATATAAGAAATTGTGTGATCAATAAAATGTGGGAGGAAATGGAATGGAAGACAACTGTGGACACCAGAAATAGTGTGAGAAGAGGGTGGAAAAGGGCAGAGGGGTAAATAAATATAAAAATATATATAATATCAATCACACTACAATGCTACAATAGAAAGTAAAAAAGAAAAAAAACACATGAAAACTATTTTTCTTGAAATTAAAAAAATGCATATTTGATGACTGCAGTAAGCTATATAGTCCTAGCTAGGTGCTACTTTATAGTATGTTCATTCTACTCACTGACGTTTATGCCTAAAGTCAGACTTGTGTTCATGGATATGTATATATCAGCTATGCTTGCTATTGGAAGTATTTATATTAATTAAGTTCATTAGCGAATAAATAAAATGGGGAGAAAAGGCATAGAAAGCAACCATGGATACCAGAGACAGTGTGGGAGAAGGGTGAGACACAGTAGAGGGTGAGAGATAGGGAATCAAGGATGGCAAATATAACAAAATATACAGTAAACAAGAAATGGAAAAGTATTTGTTGACGATAACACATATGCTGATGTGCTTGACTGAGCCAATATACAGTGTATTCTGGATGGGAAATCTCATTTTGTTTGCTGTAATGATGTATAGTGAATGAATGTAAATAAGTAAGTTTAAATAAAAAAATTACATATTGTAGAGTTCATGAGATACTATAGTAAATATCATAAAAAGTATTCTAGGGAACCAGCAGTTAGCGTAATGGCTATGTCGCTGGACTCCCACGTAGTCGACCTTGGTTCGCGTCCCGGACCCGGTGGCTTAAAACTCACGCCGGGCGCGTGTGCGTGCGTGCCCAAGATCCCGAGAGGAGAATGGAGGAGAAGGGATTGCGGCGTGATCATCCCCCCTGGGGGGTGATTTCTCGCTTTCTGTCTCTATGTCTCTCTCTCTCTGTCTGTCTGGCGAGCGCACGTGCCCTACAGTGAAAATCTCTCAAAAAAAAAAAAAAAGTATTCTATAAGTTAGGAACATATATTTCAATATCAATTTTTTGTGATTTATGAAATATGAGCCTAGAATTACAATTAAAAATAGAGGATGGGAACCAGCAGTTAGTGTAATGACTATGTCACTGGACTCCCACA